CCATTTAGGGATATGCTCCGCTACCTTCGACTTTATAGTTCGATTACTACTACTCTCAATGTAAATGTCACTGCACACACATGTAAATTAGTATACACAGCGGTATGTGAAGTAATCATATACAAAGTGATGAGGTTTATTTTGAGGCATAAGTTTTGTTTCCTCGATGATATTGAGCTTGACTGCGTAGTATGTCTTTTTAATGACTTCATTGAGTCATCGTCATAAGATCATGCTGTTTCATTCCCCATCCCCCCTTTTATAGGGTGGCGTGATGTAAACATCCTTTATCGGGACAGAATACTGATTAGTTCGCACCGTTTTTATAACGATTGATGAACTTCATAGGATATGCGTTTTCCATGAGTATCTCTGTTAGAAATTTGAATTCTTCCAGTGTTTCTGTTGTGCAGATGCGTTGGGTTTTTTCGTTTTGAATAACTATTTCACTAAACCTCATTTATACTGCATTGGACAGAAACTATGAAAGTTAAGTCGATCTGGAAGACTTTTTTTCATCCTTGCGTTTGTTGCATACAACTAAGATATCATCAACGTATCTCCTGTACAGATGGACTTTGTTGACAGTATCCTCAGCCAAAAGTTCTACGTTTGACTTATGGACATCAGCTAATAATGGTTCTAAAAGACTGCCCATAGCGGCGACACCATCAACTTGTCGAAAATGTTCACCTTCGAAAGTGAAGTGAATCTTATCGGTCCATAGTAGTAATAGCTCTTTCAAATATTTTGGAGGGATGGGGAAAGAAGGAATATTCAAGGATAGATAATCACAAAGAATATCAATAGTCTTGGTTAAAGGGACGTTGGTAAACATAGAGTTCACATCAAAAGAATACATTGTCTTGTCTTTGATATTATTGTCATTTATGTAGTCAGAAGTGTCTTTTGATGCAAATTTGCATATTTGGTCTCTCTAACTGTACTCGGCATTTGGGCAAGCCATATTGTCGATTTATGCTTCAAGGAGCGACACATGAATAGTATTAGACGTAATAGGATATTCCCTTTATGTATCTTGGGCAGACCATATAAGTTTGGGTGTTCATACACAAGGCACTTTCTTTACTTTTAACTACATCATAACTTTTAACTGCTGAATTGTGACGAAGAAGATAAGTAAACCAACTAGAGCTTTACATCTTTTGATTTTCTTGTTGGTTGATTTCATAATAGGCATTCAATTTCTTCTTTCTACTGTTAATTAGTGATCCTCGACGCCATGAAGTTTTTCATCTATCTCCGCCTGACTACTACTACCACTACTGTAGTGGCCATTACTGATAAGAATGGATATAAGTAGTATATGTTGAGAGGGTGGTAGAAATCATAGGTAATTAACAGCAATGTGTAAGGATTCTGTTGATATTCATTCGAAGTGCAGCCACCTCCTCCTGAAGGTTGTCGATTTGTTTTTTCCAGTTATTTACCTCTGGTGACTCCACTGCAGCTACTGATGTACTCACTAGCTGTCTGTTGACCTTGGGCATCTCACCAATATCCATGGGTTGGACCACGTTAACCAGTCGTAGCTGCTGGACGATGGCATTCGGGACACTTTTGGTGAATCATGCAGTCAGCAACTACTCCTGTTATTCCTCATCCAACGTGGGAAGTGCTCGTTGAAGTAGTTTAGTCAACTTCACAGCCAATACCAGCGGATCTTCGTCTATTCCAAGTTTCATGCTCCGGGACTGCAGCATTGCCAGCTCTCTGTCCACTGGGCTGTCAAACTCCGCCTCCTGGCTGTCAACCATTCTCTGCCAAGTCTCCTCCTCATCTTCACGTTCCACGCCATCATACGCTGCTTTTGATCTACCCCTCAGCAACATGCTAAGTACCACAATCTTCGCTCCTGGATCCCGAATACCCACCAGCTCCGCGATTGACTCGAAGTCCTGAGAAAGACCTTGATTTATCCATCCTCGAACACTTCAGGCCACGAAATCTTCACGTGCAGAATCAGCGACATGAGAAGACCTAAACGCATGAAGGAATGTTCATTGCTAACAAGTGGTACAGTGGTCGTTAAATATGGTACACTTTGTACTAGTCATTTGCAAAATGTGCTTCATTTCTTCTTTGCTTCTCTCTTGAGTTGCTCTTCATACACCTTTGTTGTGCCTTGCTTTTCTCTTGGCAGAATCCTTACCCATTGCTGGTAATTCCCTTTGATTTCTGCCACCCTCTCAACGTATGCTACTTATATCCATTCTGATTAGGAACGTCCACTACACTACTACTACTATTGCTACTACCGTAGTTCATCTCTTCCATAAAATGTGGAATACTAATATTTATATAAGGTTCATTATACACCCCCACCTGGGCTATTGATAAACCCCACCAAACTAACTGGTCTCTGTTAACATACAAGCTGTTTGTGTTGATATCTCGAAACGCTATTTACCCTCAAGTAATGAAATACAGTACATATGTCACCCTATCGACAACGCTCCAGCTGATACATTATTTCAATTAGTGCAGTTTTTCATTAATCATTATTTTAGACTACCAGGATATCGAAAATTAATCTCTTAGATTCATGTCGGTAAAGTAGAAATCAAGTCTGAAGTTTTGCAGAGAAAGGAAAGTCAGTTGGTATGGTTTTGAATTTCATTGACCAAGTAACTGAGAATGTGTTACATATGCCTAGTCACTGCGCACTTCGTCGATGGAAAAAGACTCGAAGGGCGAACAGCCTAAAACAATGGCACTGGTGCATAGAGTCTTTTACTACTAGTATGAGTCATGTAGGAAGATGCAGACTAGCTAGTAAGCGTTCAGAATAGATGTCAATGGTGCAGATGTATCCCCCATTTTGTCTCCATCGTAACTGTCATACTGAATTCAGCTTTTTCTCATTCCTTCTTCCTCTCTTTGACTATATTTTTATGCTTTTTGATCGATTTTCTTTCTTTCTTCATTTTTCATCTGATTACTTTGATCTGATTAAATTTCTGTACAAATACAAAAGGCTGGGTTGGCATTTGCCAACTTACGCCACCTGTGACCCTGCCGTGATATCCGATTGTCTATTAAGGGTCGCGTGTACTACACAGCAGTCCGCTCTGTTCTTCTATGTGGTTGTGAAACATGACCATTGAAGGTGGAAGACATGAGAAGGCTTCAAGTGTTTGACCACCGTCGACTTCATAGTATAGGCCTTATCCCATCGATTCACCACATGAGTAACGTAGAAGCCAGGTGTAGAGTTTCGAGGAGAAGAGGTAAGTCAGTTGACACGGTTGTAAACCTTCATCGACTGAAATGGTTGGCTCCGACGTGTATCATGTATGCCAAACTACCGTCTATCTCGTCACACAATGTTGGTCAGAGTAGGTTCAGGCTAGAAAAGGGCCCGAGATGGCCAGACTCAAAAGTGGCATCAACGTATGAAGTGTTTGACTGTTGGTTTAAGCCATGTGGGGTGATGCAGACTAGCCGGTTGCAGTCCGCGGGACAATTTTCTTTTCTTCATCTTCCACTTCACCGCCTTTTTACTGAATGTAATGATATGAGATGTGGCAGCTCGGACTGTTACTCAGTAATACGTGGTCCTATGTTGACTTTGATGATGATGATTTTATTAAATGAGGTTTGGAAACTTGGACTATTAAACAGGAGGGCCCTGGTTGTATGTTGATTTCAATGAGGGTTTCTTAGATCCATTAAAACTTCATACATAGAAAGCAAATCAGTTTAATTCGAAGACTTGCAAAGCTTTCCATAACATCATGTGTATTTGACTGGCTTAATTGCTGATTGATAGTGAAAGAGATCTTTAATAGAATTCTCTGAAAAATCGTATTATTATTCTAAAGACTTCTTAAGACAATTGAATTGTATAACCACTTTTACTTTGTTGTTAAAGCAATTTGATGAGACCGTGAGCCAAATGGTTCAACGTTTCGTTTGTTTTTAACAGGAATTGACTCTCAGTGATAGATAGGTACTTGTCGACAGTATTATTTACCAGTTTTTATTCAGTATAACGTCAGATTGTTTAAATCAATCAATCAATATAAACATAGGACCACGCATTACTGAGTAACGGTCCGAGTTGCCACACATATCACTACATCAAGTAGAAAGGCAGTGAGGTGAAGGATGAAGATAAGAGAATGCAGTCAAAAGAAATATAAAGTGTGAGAAGAAAGAAAAGAGGAATGACAAAATGGTGAGAATCAGTATAGCGTCGTTAAGATGACGATAATGTGTGTATACATCTGCACCACTGACATAGGTTCTGAGCCGTATCCCCTAGAGTCTCCAACCACTGGTTTCTCTTTACCCGCGGACTGTAACCGGCTAGTTTGCATCGCCCACATGGCTCAAACCAACAGTCAGACACCTCATACATTGATGCCGTGTTTTAGTCTGGCCACTTCAGGCCTTTTTCCTGCTTAAACCTACTTCGGCGACTAGGCATACGTAGTACGTGTCCCAACCATCTGAATCGATGAAAGTTCATAACCTCCTCAACTGATTTACCTTTACTCCCTAAAACTCTACACCTGACTTCTGCATTACTCACGTGGTGACACCACGGAATACGGCTTATACTACGAAGGCAACGGTGGTCAAACACTTGAAGCCTTCTCATGTCTTCCACCTTCAATGACCATGTTTCACAGCCATACAGTAGAACAGAGCGGACTGCTGTGTAGTACACGCAACCCTTAATAGACAAACGGAAATCATGGTGGCACCATAGGTTGGTTTCAGTTGACAAAAGCCAATCGAGCCTTTTGTATCCGTGCAGAGATTTCATCGGCCACTGGGCTAGTCACCAGGGCTGATCCTACTTCCCAGGTAAGTGAAGTGGTCAACACACTCAACCCTTTCACTCTCTATTGTTAGCCGCGGCACCGTTTAAAGGTGTATAGCAGAAATATCATAAAATTAATCTTATTTTATGTATAAATAATAAACAGTTAAATTTTATCAATTTATAAACCTATTGTTTTTGTTTATAGTCGAATGGACAAGTGATATTCAAGCAGACAATAGTAATTGGCCACCGGATGTAGACGATCCAACAGATACACAAACAGATGATGGTTAGTGTTGAAATTGTTTATCATCTTAGTAGTATTGTTTGTTCCGTGTTTCTGGTATCCATTCTTATTTTTTTTCTTTTAAATGGTACTTCTGGATGTGTATTTGTGATATCCTTTTAATGAATTGTTATAACCTTAAGTATATATGTATATGTGAGACTAGAAACTTGAACAGTGACTTTCAGATTCAACCCTTGATGTTCTCTCAGTTCCTTGGTAAAAAAAAAGAAAGGCTGTAGGATAATAGAAGGTGAGTTTCAACGTGAAAATGTATATGAATATACATTCACAATGGTCTTAACTATTTCTAGGCCTTTCTAGACACCAGTATATGCCATTGATTTCCACCTCTCCAACCAATCTAGTATTTACAGATTGGTTCATATGCCTTCTCTTAAGACTTCCAAGTGAAACAATCAGTTGTAAAAGGTTTCAGGGATTTAATGCTTCTCATGCAAATCAGGGCACACTACAACAGTAATAATACAGCATTTAATAATATTATCTATGTTATTGCCTGGCTGTATTTTACAACCTATAGATAGATTTATTATTGTTTATTATATGTCCCATATGTTCTTAGTGGAACATAGGGCTTCAGTAACACGTCCCCATTTCACTCTCGCCTCTGCAGTCTTCCCAACCTGGCACCACGACTGCCCAGAAGCTTTCATTTCTTCATCACACAACCTCCCCTATGTCACCGTCGCGTCGGACGCCCAACTCGTCGTTTCATCTTGGATTCCACTCGACGGCCTGGTCTGACCTGGCGTGTGATGTCTCCGAATGGTTTTCTCAGTGTACGCCCAATCAATCTCCACTTTCTCCTACTGCATATTTGTTGGGTGGTAGGTTATTGGTTTGTTCGTTGCCAGGCAGCCAGAGTTCTTTGTCGCCTATTCTTATTATTCTAGTCATCTGATCTCCATCTTCAGTATCGAGTGAGTGAGCGTAGGTGGCAGCTATTGATGTGATGTATGTCTGTAGTTTGTTGGAAACGCTTTTCGTAAAGCGCCAAGTCTCTTAACCATCACATAGAAGCACTGACTGACTTGACTGAATTTGTGTTGAAAATCTGTATCTTGTTCATGGTTTATGCTGAGTGGAATGGAGTTGATCTGCATACTGATTTCAGTTTAATGCGGGAAGGCTTGTATTGCTGTCTTTCCGATCGTGGCTTTGGCGTTCTTATCTGTGTCGCCGTCCCCGCCTGTAGTTAAAACGATGCTGCCCTGTCTAAGTAGGTGTAGGTGAAAGAGACAACTTGATTTAGGTTTCTTCCTTTGATGGTGATTGGTGCTAGTTGTTGTTGTTGTTGTTGTTGTTGTTGTTGTCGGTGTTGTTGGTTGGGTATGTTCATCACCTCTGTCTTGTCTATGCTCACTTGAAGAAGGTCCCTTCTTCGCTGTCCTGCCTCTTCTGCCAACTTGTTGGTTTCCACCTGTAGATCTTCGAGCTTGTGCGACAAGACATTAGACATAAATCATCACCGGGGAAATCCAAATCTTCTTGTGGGGTCTTTTCATCGGTGCAGCCAGCTTATACCCATCTTCTCACAGCTCCTCACAGTTGTTTGCTGCGTTATCCAGTCGAGTCGACCACAATCGTGAAGATGACTGGTGATATTAGGTGAAACCTTGTCTTACTCCTGTTCCCTATCTTGCTTCACTTCAAAGGCATCAGTGAGCTTTCTATTGTGAATCACTTGACATGTAGCATGATATAGCATAGTGGATAGCTGCTGTTGAATGGGGTTGACAAAAGTTTGTGGCACTAGAACCGTAGTGTTGAAGCAGCAGTTTCCAAGATACTTCTCGGTCGACGCTGTCGAAGGTCTTTTCAAAGTGTATGAAGTTGAGGTTGAGGTTGAGGTGAGGAGTTGACTGTGATTCTGTGTTGTGTTGTATGATGGTGTTGATTGTAGTGTTTCAATTTGATCGACACATGATTTGTTTTTCCTGATGCCAGACAGCTCGCCTGTTCTGATTGTAACTTTGAATCCAAAGCCTTTTTTAAACTCTTACAGACAGATATATATACGTAAATATGGATCTTCGCTGGCTATTCTGGGTCGAATCGCTCGACCTCTGTTTAAATATGGCTTCCTCTTCGGATGCCTTGGTACTGTCGGATTTCTCATTATGTTATAATCCGTTCGGCAGTTAGTAGCGGAATTCAGGATGTGCGTTCCATCCTATTTCTGACTTATCAGCTAGATATACCTGCATGTCGGTGGGATTCGACCTCGATACCCTTCGCTTCAAACAGTCGAGCGTTATCCACTTGACCACTGGGGAACGAGAATCACCTCTTATGAATTGCTTTACCTTCGTTGATAGATGGACTGCAATATGAATACTTCGATACTACGTGATTACTCTTTATATTGTACTCTGTAGTATCCTATGGTTGATGTACTAATCTTTATCCGATATGAAGCCTAAAAATGTAACAGAATATCAAGCAAAAACCTCCTGTTTCTTGTTTCAGTACTTTGTCAACAATTTATTTCACCAAATATTTGTATATATGATATATTTTTTGATTGTTACTCATTTTTATTGATGATGCTCAAAAAAGTGTGAAACTATTCTAATTTCAGCGTATTTCTGGTTGTTCATCTTTTCAACTATGCTTGGTAACTTTTTATTTCTTCTTTAAAGCTTTTTCTAGTGGCTAAGATGTACTGAGATGATCAATAGAAAGTCTATATTAGTATATATGCTGAAATGATCTCAATGTTCAGCTCAATAAAAGGAAATAAATGTATATTTAACAATAATATGATATAAGAGATATACAGGAAGATTAAATTATCAATACATCTTCATTATTGTGTGATTTATTTTGTAACATATCTGGTAGGCTTCAAGCACTTCAAAGTTGTCATCTGAACGGAATGATACAAGAAGCTAGGTGAAATCCACTAATCATTCATTATTCAGCTGTGATCTAAAAGGTGATTGGATTGTTGTTTAACAATTTATCATCATGATAAGTCAAATCTTCGAAGCTGAGGTTTTGAAAGTTCTAGTAGATCTTTTTTTGGCAGTTAGTTGCTTCTTAATTATGAATATGAGACCGTGGCATTGCTGCATAAATGTTACAAATGTCAGAGAAACGAAACAGGTATAAAGTCGTAGATCTAAAAAAAAAAGGAAGGATGTAAACAAACTGTAAACTATGATGTAACGCCTAAAATGACAATAATGCATAGCTACATCTGGGCCAGTGAAGCCATTTCCGATTCTTTTCACCTACAATCTGTAACATTATTACTTCTTACTGGAACATACTTACGAATAAATTGACAGGAATATACCTTTCGAAATGACTCTGGATGGGGTTAGAAATAGTATTAAGGATTACAATGACCTTACGCATGGAACTGACGTGCTTATCAGAGTAATCATGCTAGCAGTATGATTGTGCCTAACGTCTACAAACTGAAAGAGTTGCCTTGGGATCACCAACATCCCCCATCGTCAAAGACATATTTATGCACAGTTTAGAAACGATGGCCTTTCGAACATGTTGTCCTACTCCAAAGATATGGTTCCGATATGTAGATTATACGTTTAAAGTACTGAAATCACAACACATCTATAGGTTCTTGATACATATAAATTGAGTAGTGAATCCAATACAATTTACCTATGATTTGGAAAATGATGAAGGTGAACTAGCAATGATGGATTACGAGATTAAATGAACACAAGACAGAAGTTTAGAGACTAGTGTTGTCTATAGGAAAATTTCGCATTCGAATCGCTACTTAGGTTTCCAATCTTCCTAGCCCATTTCAGTTAAGGTAGGCGTAGTTAAATGCTTAAGTGATAGAGCGAAAAAGCTAACTAGTAGACCGGAATATCTACGACAAGAAAATAGACAGATCAAGAATACTTTGCATCTCAATAATTATCCACCTAAATTTATAAATAAATTCGTAAGAAATAGAAAGAAAAATATTAGCAGCTCTAGTAATAATAATAATAATAATAACGGTGTTGTCAGTAATAATTCTACTACTATTAGTAATAATGATAACAGAGTCGAGAGATAATTCAAAACCTCTACTGTATTAACTAACATACAAAGAAGGCACCTGAAAAGCATTACGAAAAATTCTCAATAAGGCTGTCTACGATTCAACTGGCTAACATTTAAACCAACAAACTCACCTAGAAACAAGCTTTACAAATTGGAAGATCCTATTGATGCAATTAAACAAAATAATCTAGTTTACACAATCCCTTACAATATTTCCGAGGTCAAATACATGTCGTTGACCAGTGTCGATTAGAATAACACAGCACAAAGACTCAGTTGAATCAAGCAACATTCTAATAGATCCTAATGTGGTAGAAGATTTAGAGAACAGCTGGGTTATAGGTGTGCACGCGCAGTTGTACACAATCATACAATAGGGTGAGGGGATAGTGTGACAGTATTAAAAATGAACATAGTTGGTTGGAGGCAGCGAAAGATTGATACTGGAATTTTTATTTATTGAATCAACACCATATCCATGCAGTAATAGAAATGACTGTGCACCTGTTCCGTTCCACATGTGTGAAATTATAGTCTGTTTTCATGAGAGGATTCAAGCTTAGATTTTTTTCTTTTCTATTTCGATCTGAGTGTTATCTTCAAGATGGTTTTATTTTGTATAGTTTTTATACTCATTGTTATGCAATGGCAAAAGCATAAAATATCATTTCCACATTTCAATTATGTAATAAATTACAGTTAATTTTCATTCATTTCGATTACTCTGTGTTCTCTATACACCTACAGATGCTTCAAATTATCGTCTACTTCCAACACAAAATGAAGATATAAATTCAAAAGCATCACGTTTAGCCTTGAAACGAATTATTAATCCAGACAATAAATCGTCTGTTGTATCAATGTCACATCAACAATTAAAGCAAGAACAAGAACAATCTCCAGTTCATCGACAACAATTAGATATTAATACAAGTTATACTTCTAGTAGTGGACATCAACAACAACAACAACAACAACGTTCAAAAACATCAGGTCAACTTATATCACCTGATCAAATTACACCAACAAATAGTCCAAATCATTCAGGTACACATAGTCGTCGTACATCAGATGGTAAATCAAGTTTATGTGGTATGGAGTATACACATTGGTTGAATTCATTAACACCTGAACAATTAGTGAAACGTTTAAGATGTACAGATAATTTAGCTGAACAAGTTGAACTACTTGGTCGATTGCATCAATTACGTGGATTAGACTGGAATACTGGTATAGATCCAACACAATCAGCTACTGTTAGATCATTATTAAAGGAGGTTTGTGCTAACAAACAATATTATTATTATTATTATTTAACCTTCTGTATCACTTACACATAGTCTTTGTCATTTCATGCAGTTTCCAGTTGAGTTTAGCACTTTCATATCTGAAATCTAATAGTTGTTGAATAGATTTCAATAAATGAATACAATAACGTGAAAACTATTGGTAAGTGAAGATTACTCTAACTGATGAAATAAGCGTAGAATCTGGCAAACAGGTGCATCAGCTCAAGTTGGAACACTTCATAGAACAGGCGGGTAGAAAAATATTGATATCAAGGTAGACAAAGTTTTGTGAGAGAATAAATAAAGTGTGAATGCCTTACTTACAGAAAAGAGAATTCTATCAAATATGATATGGAATTTAGGACTGTTTCCTCGAAAATGTACATTACAATTGTATCATATGTAACTACTTTTGTAATAATCAAAATGACACCATATTCGATTTGTTTATTTAATTTATAACACACAGTGAGTGATAGACTATTATTTACTTGATGACATTTCCAGCATTAATTACTTATTCCTCATAATCATCTCAACGTAATCTCACACAACTAGATTTCAACATCTGATTTGCATAGTTCTCTCACCAATCTCATATTCTTTGTTTTTATTGGTAGTAAAGTTTTCCATATCTCTGGTATACGTGTTGCGTTGGTTGATTCGATGGGGAAAGCTTCAATAATCAATCTCTCCCACTTCATTATATTAAACTTGAGTACAGTGATTTTATTCCACCCAACCTGTTGTGCATCATAATTATTATTTGTCCCTAGGGTTCCTAGTGGAACATAGGGATTCATTAACACGTCTCCAGTGCACTCTGTTCTCTGCAATCTTTTCAACCTGGCTCCACGACCACTCAGAAGCCCTCATTTCTTCCTCATACGATCTCTACCCTATTGTGTGGTTGTGTGTTGATGCATGAATTGCAGTAGACGAGTTGACTTTGAGATTATTGGTCTTATTCAGGTGTCATTCTATGTTGAGCTAAATACCTATGGTCCACTAAACTAATTTTTCCCGATTGCCTAGCTTGACGTCACAGTGATTACATGGAATTTGATAGATTAGATTATTTTCCTAGTTGAAGCTATCAGATCCCTAAGCCAGGTGACAAAGCTCATCTCTGAGTCAGTGTGTAGGTTTCAATGACACCCTAATTCTAGCATTGTTGAGAGTCCTACACAAAGTTTCTGATGTACCGTACTTTTAGAGTAACACAATGGAGGCTGCAAACTTCTTTCTACTCATGTTGACGCTATTTTTCATACTCGTGTTACTGTCATCTTTTCGTTTGTTATGTGTTCGTACGAATTTCTGAACAAATTGTAGAGGATAATTACTACCTATTAGTGCTTGCTTGCTTCACATGTTTCAGTTCTTTGTTCAAGTCCCCACAATGACTAATGAGTTCTCTAGCTGTGTCATTTCGACATTTGATTAAGCCTGTCTCAAGTGACTGGCATTGGAGGTGATGTCTTGGAGTCTACAATGTTTTGATTTTTTTCTCTGTAGACGGTAGTATTCAAACTACTGTGTGTCCCTTGTTTTATCCAGCAATCCAACATAGGTAGTTCTCTTCAATAAGATCAGTAATTTCGAAGTCAACTCGTCTACTGCAATTCATGCATTAACACACAACCATACAATAGGGTAGGTGGTATAAAATCACTGTACTCAAGTTTAATATAATGAAGTGGGAGAGATTGATTATTGAAGCTTTCCCATCGAATCAACCAACGCAACACGTATATTAGAGGTATGGAAAACTTTACTACCAATAAAAACGAAGAATGTGAGATTGGTGACAGAACTATGCAAATCAGATGTTGAAATCTAGTTGTGTGAGATTACGTTGAGATGATTATGAGGAATAAGTAATTAATGCTGGAAATGTCATCAAGTAAATAATAGTCTATCACTCACTGTGTGTTATAAATCAAAATAAACAAATCGAATATGGAATTATATTCTATCACAGTACCCAAGTTTTACACGTTTATTTAATAATAATAATGATAGTAATCACTTTAGTCCAGTCAATAACTTTTAGTACAGTTTGAAATTCTCAGTGTGATATTCGAATAAATTTGCTTTTAGGACAATAATATTCACAAAATAAAAAAAACCATGGCAATTAAATCATGTTGATAAATAACAACAGTATGATAGGCATTAATGGACAATAACACTCAGTAGCTTTTAGGTTATCATCTCAAGATGTTATTCATCGTAGACTGCCATCTGTTGGAGGAACAAAGGAAACCTGGAAGCATTGGACAGCTGTTTCGTCCTAGTATGGGACTTCTCAGTAGTGCGCACCCACGACCTCGACACGGATCTTGAACGTTGGAGTCAAAGCCTGATGGTCTTGAGGACAGTTACTCAATATAACGATGCAACTCTCCGAGATGAAAACGATTAACGATAGAACATTGACTTCTCAACTCGATATTCAGCTGACATCAGAAGAAGACGATGAGATTGAAAAGTTATTCACTCCAACCGAAATCTAATGAGTGAAAAACACTCGTTTATATGTCTTTATATGACCTTTGCCAGAGAAAACAAAATAGCATATTCAAAGTGTGAAATGGACCAATCAGCGTTTAGCATTCTAGACTGCCAAAAGGGCGCGAAAATAAGGCTTAAACTCTACAATGATAATATAAGAATGCTATAAGTTAGTAATCTTACGGATTAGCCATCCGTAACATAATTATTATAATTTTTTAAGATCTATTTTCTTTGAGTTCATCAAACATTCATCCTCACGTGTTGGAAACTGTCAGCAATCTAGTTGAACTACACAACTTTCTACAAATCATTTTAACCAACCAGTTAAAATCTACGGTTTCTCTATCTACTGACTTGTTCAATCAACGAATAAATATTTGATACATGAAATACTATTATAAACAAGATTTTTTATTCCATTTTAGTCTGTCGATTACTGGATAACGTTTCGGACACAATTTATTGTCCACAGTCATATCAGATAGCTCTACAACTTTGAGACAAAGTTTATATAGTCCCCAATGTTCTCTCCCTCTTTGTGATGACAAGAGTAGTAGAATTTTCCACACATGTGGAACGGAACAGGTGCACAGTCATTTCTATTACTGCATGGATATGGTGTTGATTCAATAAATAAAAATTCCAGTATCAATCTTTCGCTGCCTCCAACCAACTATGTTCATTTTTAATACTGTCACACTATCTCCCCACCCTATTGTATGATTGTGTACAACTGCGCGTGCACACCTATAACCCAGCTGTTCTCTAAATCTCCTACCACATTAGGATCTATTAGAATGTTGCTTGATTCAACTGAGTCTTTGTGCTGTGTTATTCTAATCGACACTGATCAACAACATGTATTTGATCTCGGAAATATTGTAAGGGATTGTGTAAACTAGATTATTTTGTTTAATTGCATCAATAGGATCTTCCAATTTGTAAAGCTTGTTTCTAGGTGAGTTTGTAGGTTTAAATGTTAGCCAGTTGAATCGTAGACAGCCTTATTGAGAATTTTTCGTAATGCTTTTCAGGTGCCTTCCTTGTATGTTAGTTAATACAGTAGAGGTTTTGAATTGTCTCTCGACTCTGTTATCATTATTACTATTAGTAGTAGAATTATTACTGACAACACCGTTATTATTATTAATATTACTAGCGCTGCTAATATTTTTCTTTCGATTTCTTATGAATTTATTTATAAATTTAGGTGGATAATTATTGAGATGCAAAGTATTCTTAATGTGTCTATTTTCTTGTCGAGATATTCCAGTCTACTAGTAAGCTTTTTCTTCTACCCTTGTCATCACATCGATGGAGAGAGAATTGTTCATGCTCCAAATATGTCTCAAAGTTGTGGAATTACCTGATATGAATATGGACAATAAATTATGATTGAAATCAGTTTTGTTTTCAATCGATTAAAACAGTTAGGTGAAATGATACTGAAAACTATTCAGTAGAGGCGATAATAATAATAGTGGTGGTGAGTAAGGAAGGATTAAGGGGTAGGGACTGGTGCCTCGGTGTAGGTGTTATGTCCACGGTATAATCAATGACTGTGCATTCTTCATTTACAAATAAATATCACCTTTTAGTAGTCCATGAATGATGAGGCCTCTGTTGTATTCATAGATTGAAAATAATGAAATTACAACAGATTTTGGACGAAATACATAAACAATGTAAAGGAATTTTCTAAATGATAAAGATCTATCAACTATTCTGTTAATAGAACTTTGAATAGTATTTTATTCATTTTAATAAAATCAAGCTGGAACATGTTATCGCGTATACGTACAGATAGGGTTCGCTGATTACGATTAATGTATTGTCTTTTACAAGAACAAAGTAAACTAGTAGGAGAAGATTTCAAGTTGTTATTCATCGTAGACTGACATCCGTTGGAGGAACAAAAGAAAGCTGGGAGCACTGGACAGCTGTTTCGTCCTAGTATGGGACTTCTCAGTAGTGCGCACCCACGACCTCGACACCAGCAGGGATCGAACCCGTAACCTTCAGGTTCCGCGGCCAGCGCGTTACCATTGAGCCACTGGGTCAGAATCCAATGCTCCATATTCCCAACTTCTGTTAGCTCACGATATATATATATATATATATATATATATATATATATATATATATATATACATAGTAGGAGAAGAGTTTATGACCATTAGAAGATAGCTGCAGTTTTGTTGCATAGATCATACTATCGATTGTTTTACAAAGACTATTTTCAGACAAATTTTATCGGTCATCTTTAAATTCTGCATTCATGAATAAAAGTTTCCTGAAAATTGAGTTAATGACCTGTTTTATATGTTTTTTTTCCATCATATCTTCATCAATAAAAAGGTTGATTGAGGAGATTTACTAAGAATTTATTGGTGTATTCCTTACGATTCATCAAGACCACTTATTTTTTTATCAAAGTGACTTATCTTTAAGTAATCTGAACTGTGTTTTATATGGTTTTTAGTTATTAAGTGATAAGAAGTTATTTGCGACTTGTTCATTCATCTTAGTGACTCTCAGTGGGATCAAGGATATGCATTTCGTCCTATTTGGGACTCGTCAGTTTGACATACCTCTACCCCAGTGAGACTCAAACCCCAGCATCCATCCTTTCAAACGACAAAGTATTATTCTATTGGCCACTTTCGCGTGAGAGCGACCATTTGTACTGAGGTTATTTGTTGTTATTTGATACTAGTAATTTGTTGTTACTATACAGGGACGAATTATTCAACCTCAGGTGGCGGATGAGCTCTTATGAAAAAAGATGAATACAACATGATGAACATCCGACAGTATCGAAGACTTCAAGTGAACATAGAGAAGGTCATGAAGGTACTCACCCAACAACAACAAGTACCAATCACCGTAAACTGGAGAAATCTAATGCAAGTTGTCTCTTTCACCTACACCTATCTAGACAGGCAGCATCGTTTCAACTGGAGGCGACACATGAGGATGTCAAGTCCACGATCGGAAAGACATCAAGACAGGCCTTCCTACATTATTCTGAAATCAATCAGTGTGGAGATCAACTACACTCCACTGCACTCAGCATAAAGCATAAACGGGATCGGGATTTTCAACACTAATTCAGTCAAGTCAGTGCCTCTTTTTGTTGGTTGCGAGACTTGATGTGTTACGAAAAGCATTACCAACAAACTACAGACATTCATCAACAGCTGCCTACGCTCGATGCTGAAGATCCAATGGCTAGAAAGAATAAGCAACAAGGAACTCTGGCTGGCTGGCTGACAACGAATAAACCAACAACCTATCGCCGGATAAATATGCAGTAGAAGAAAGTGGAGATGGATTGAGCATACACTGAGAAGGCTAACTGGGGACAACACGCGTCAGGCCAGGCCCTCGAGTGGAGTGCAAAGGGGAAACGACGAGTTGGGCGTCCCAGTTGAGGGTGACATGGAGATCATGTGAGGAAGAAATGAAAGCTTCTGGGCAGTCGTGGTGCCAGGTTGGAAAGACTGGAGAGAACAGAGTGAAATGAAGGCGTTCTAGTGAAGCCCTATGTTCCACTAGGAACCCAAGGGACAAATAATAATCGAGGCATCCGCAGATGAGTCCATCTGCCAACAGTGGTCGAGCAATTCTACCCTGTATATAACAAAGGGAAAATGAAAGTATCAGGTAACAACTATGAATTGAATTTGACATGCTGGAATTTCTGTAGCAACATAGAGAATCAATCAAGATTGTAAGTAGTCAGTTTTTCAATTTATTCTTGAGTTTATAGTCTATTGACGTTGGATACAATACTGCAGAACTTTATACTCAGCTATAGAGTTCGTAACTGAAGCATTGAAAGAATAACAGAGAACTGACTAAATGCATATTTATAATATGTCATAGTTTTTATATATACTATAGACTTTTATTGATTAATGAACGAACTTGATGGTGAATAATCAATTTACTATCCTCTTAATCTCTTAGCTTTTCATCTTTCTTGAAAGTCATTAACCAAGTTTATCTGCGTCCTAAGAATTCTCACTAAAAGGCTTTTAAAGATCCTAATCAATTTACACACAAAAGTAGAAGAAGCACTCTGAATACTACTACTGTCTTGTATCACAGTATTGCTTATAATCTTCATAAAAATGGTAATTACGATAAGTGTACGTTTTTAAACTATACTTCAGCATTTGATTCTATCCCTAGACATATACTATGTATTGGATAATCAATCAACTGACTATATTCCTATTTTTCTGAAAGTAAAACAATATCCTGTTCACGGAGGGAAGTCCTCCATGTCATTGCTTATTGTGGGTCGTGTTCCTAAGTTGCCGTCCTTTCCTTTTGGTTCTTTCTCTTTCTTTCTTTATAATTTACCTTGTGTAGCAAGTATCAATTTTATCAAATATACTGATGAATTGACAGTTTCCATACCTATCTCCTCTTCATCAGAGTGTTCCAAACTGAGTGATTTTCCTATCTACTGTTAAACGAGGGTCATCCTTAAATCGTCTTGTGTTTAATTCCTTAAAATGTGGGACCATAAACTGTAGTTTTAAACTTAAACATAACCTGTGTACACTGCTTAGTTCTCATGATTTCTGTCCTATTGATGGTTGTGCATTAGAGGATGTTACAAGTGTGATTTATCTCGGTGTGTGGCTTCCTTCGAACCCTTCCTGGTCCTCCTATATTTTACTAATTTCCAAAAGAATTTTCTATCTAGCTTTCTATATTAAGAAGTTGAGAGTATTTGGTATAACTCAGCCCTCCTCTTGTATTTTATAAACTCCTGCATCTCGCCTGTTCTCCTTTATTCTTTCGTGGGGCTGCTGTAAACAAATTTTGCTATGTTGTGTAGAGCTTTGAAGATTGTCAGCAGAAGTAGTGGTGTACCTCTAAACCTTCTATTTAAAACAGTTGTGAACAAAGTATCGTGTCTCCATGGATGACGTTTGAAGCAAGTCTGAATCCCGGTGGAAACAATATCACTCTCTGGGAGGTAGGTACATCCAGCTGACTAGTGAGTCCGAAATAGGACGAAATGCGCATCCTGGATTCCACTGTTAGCCAATATCCACCATTACTACAATAAGTTGTGGACAAACATCTGGCACGAGTTATTTTATCAGCATCCTCTTCACTTAAAGCTGTCTGCGTGTTGGTCCATCTGGAAAGACAAGGAGCAAGTACATAAGACTTTATGCATGTACAACAAAATATAAAAACTCTACAATACCCTGTTTATTTAGCTCGTTTGTTGTGCAATGAAAACTTCTGTTATTGAAAGCAAACTAATTGATAAGTATACAGCATGTTATTGTTTATGTATTATGAATCTAATTACTAATATGATTGTTTACCTAAGTCTACATTTTCACCAAAGTTGTATATGGAGTAAATATTTCCATTTTTAATGTGTAATTTATTTCATTCTGTTATGCGTACATATACACTTTTTCTGTCCAGTTGATGGTATACTTGGAGGATCAAAGGAAACTTGGGAGCACTGCATAGCTGTTTCGTCCTAGCATGGGACTCCTCAGCAGTGCGCATCCATGACCCCGACCTCCAGGGGTCGAACCCGCGATCTTCAGGTTCCGCGGCCAGCGCGTTACCATTGAGTCATTGGGTCAGAATCTAATGCTGCATATTTCCAACTTCTATTAGCTCATGATATAGCGCAACCACCACCCTCAAAATTCAATTCCCGAAATATTTTTTAGAATAAACCCATTTTTATTATTATTACTTATCACTCAGTTAAAAACTGAAAATTTAGTCAATATTCTAAAAACCTCACTTCCTTTTAATCAACTTTAGTCAAAATCTTTTATAGAATGAATGAATAATGTTGAATTGTTGTTTCAATAAACAGTTCAACTTGAAAAATTAATCACTGAGAACGTATTCCGTGAAATTTTTCGAAGATATTTTCATATCTAGTTAAACGATGTACGAATGCGGGTGTAACTCATTAGTTTAGGCAGTTAATTTTCGACCGATGAGTCATGGGTTCGAATCCCGCTCCACCTATGCAAGAATGTACAACCAGGTAATGTGACAATAGCCCTCATACAATAGGTTTGATTCATCGCCTACCACATGAATGTGTATATGATTACTGAATACATTTTGATTTCATTTCGAAGTCATGTAATGTGTTATTACTGATCAAAGCTGTAGATTAATGACTCTAGTGTTTTATACTGAATCCCTTTGCTCTTGTTTCAGTTTGTTTGTAACTAGTCAGTATGTTTCATCTCAGGATGTAAACAGTTTTGTGTACTTCTTGGGACTCAAGATTATCTTATCTAATTGCTGAAACGTGTATAAATGCAACATGTTTCAAATGCTTGAATTGATAACAGCCTTATCAGTTTAAAGTTATACCACACTGTCTAGTTTGTTTGTTTATAGGCGTGTTAATAGTTGGTTTCTAAGTTAAAAGAACTAAAACTAACAGACTTTTGGGCTATTCAGATTTATAACTTTCAAAGGTTCCACCAGTATGAAAAGCAATTCGGAGGCTACTTGCTTGGGGATATACCCAATACGGAATACAATACAAACGTATCATTTTTACTATCTAAGATAGCTATAGTTTGATAAACTAGTATTGATACTGGTTGGTGACTAGTCAGCTAGTGTGAGTTACATCATGGGGTAGTAATGTGTCATGAATTCCTAAGGTAGTCAGATGAAGCAACCCCCTTGGTGACTAATGTAAAATGAAGATCTGGTCAGGAGTTGGGTATCACAGCTCTTAGTCAGTAGACTGCCTGGTTAGAAACCTGGTGATCACTGGTTCAATTCCAATCGCAGCCTAGATTTTCATTTCATCTTCAATCATCACCCAGTGCTACTACAAGATGACAGTTCTATCTAGAGTAGCTTCTTGAATAAAAGTATATACCTTAATGGTGGGTAGTTGACGACCATCTTGGAGTTGACTAACCTTATACACTTTTGTTTATGGATTCTAATCATATGATAGTAACTTAGAATAACAGACAATCAGTTCATATCTAACGATTTTAATATTATTTTTAGATTTCTGTATTTGATCTTTATTATATAATAGTCTATTTATTATCTTTCTTTAGGTGTATGAACGAGCTACTCAAACAACATCATGGTTTCTGCTTCGTTATACAGCTGCTTTATTAGGTAAACGTGCTGATAGTTTAGCTAAGTCATTAGCTGATATACTAGTATTACAAAAACAAGTAACAGTTGGCCTACCACCGGAACCAAGAGAAAAAGTTATTGATGCTCCATTATCACCGGATCAATTGTATGAATTAATACAAGTAGCCTGTGGAGAAGACAGTTTAATGATAATACTCACACAAGTATGTTATTCTCTTGTTATTTATCATCTTATTCATTAATATTATCATTATTAGACTCTTAGTAACATCTTTTTTATTTTTTACTTTAATCTATACATCATCACTACTGACATGATAACAGTGTGATTGTACTATGGAAAAGAATTTCATAGGAATCATTTCGTTCTGAATATATGTTAAATATAAAAAAAAATGAGCGATGGTTAAAAAGTACTACAGTGTAGAAATTCGTGAATTAATGAACACTAATGTTGTTGTAGTCTGGCTCCATTTCTCCTTAGTTCTAATATGACTGAAATTGTGACGATGATATGGCACAAAGTTGATCTCAATGGCGTGGATACGTCTCTGTATTGTAATGGTAGAGGATATTCGTAGGTCAGGTAGATGTCCTTGGTTGTGTTGTGTTCTCTAAGCTGCGTAATCCAATCGTTAAGCTTCTGTTATCTTTCCAGGAATAATTGCAATATGAAGTAAGCTGTCAATATCTTCCTTTGAGTGATTCAGTCGCTTGCTCTGACAAACTTGTTTGCAATTGTTTGCTTCCTTCATCATGAACTGACATCAATTTCAGGAACATTGGAAACGTGGGAGCACTGGACACCTGCTCCATGCTAGTATAGGACTCCTCAGCGGTGCGAACCCACGACCCCGTCTGGGATCGAACCCGCGACCTTCAGATCATTGCCACTCGGTCAGAATCTAATGGTCCATATTTCCAACCTCTGTCAGTTCACAACATAACGCCACCATCACCCAATTTAATTGCTGAGTATCTGTTTTCCCGACCACCAGGTTTGCCCCACTGGTCACCACTTCTCATTAAAACTTCAGGAAACACTTGTTAAAGCCAGTCACCAATGAGCACTAGTTCAATTGAATTTGGTCATTTGTGGGGATTTAAGGATTTTTCAGTTGATATTTATCATAGACTCACATCATTTGGTGAAACACTGGAAACCTGAGAGCACTAGATAGCCGTCTCCTCCTCGTATAAGACTCTCCAGCAGTGTGCACCCACGAACCCGCCAGGGCTCGAACCCAAAACCTTCAGGCCAGCACGTTACCTCTGAACCAGCCATTGGGCCAAAATCCAATGGTTCCTATTTTCAACGTTCTGGCTGCGGAAACTGAAGGTCACGGGTTCGATCCCTGGTGGAATCGTGGTGCACACTGCTGAAAAGTCCCATACTAGGACGAAACGGCTGTCCAGTGCAGTTTCCTCCAACTGATATCAGCCCATGATGAAAACCAACCAGACATTGCTCTAAATTTCCACAACCATCCAAATTCAAATATTTCTTTTGTGGTCATATAGAGAAACAGCCAACAAGAAAGACTGTGCAATCAATGACACACCAAACATAGGTAACAACCAATCACAAACCAGTTTGTCAGGTCAAGCTACTGAATCATCATGTTAGATTATGTAGCCTAAAATCTTTTGTAATAATACAAGCTTATACACACTTTACCATTTTGTAAACCCCGAAGAGTTTATCTGTCGTTTTAGTCGACTCGTTTTCAACTGAATCCTTGTCAACATCACATTTGGATTTTTAATGAACTAATTACTTCTGAAAAATGTCAACGTAGTTGGTGTGTGGGGGGGGGGGGGGTTAACGTTTTGCAAAATGCCTTCGAAATTACTGATCTTATTGAAGAGAACTACCTATGTTGGATTGCTGGATAAAACAAGGGAAACACAGTAGTTTGAATACTACCGTCTACAGAGAAAAAAACCGGAACATTGTAGACTCCAAGACATCGCCTCCAATGCCAGTCACTTAAGACAGACTTAATCAAATGTCGAAATGACACAGCTAGAGAACTTATCAGTCATTGTGGGGACTTGAACAAGGAACTGAAACATGTGAAGCAAGCAAGCACTAATAGGTAATAATTATCCTCTACAATTTGTTCAGAAATTCATACGAACACATAACAAACGAAAAGATGACAGTAACACGAGTATGAATAATAGAGCCAACATGAGTAGAAAGGAGTTCACAGACTCCAATGTGTTACCATATAAGGAAGGTACATCAGAAACTTTGCGTAGGATTCTCAGCAATGCTGGAATTAGGGTGTCATTGAAACCTACACACTGACTCAGAGATGAGCCTTGTCACCTGGCTTAGGGATCTGATAGCTTCAACTAGGAAAATAATCTGATCTATCAAATTCCATGTAATGACTGTGACGTCAAGCTAGCCAATCGGGACAAATTAGTTTAGTGGACCATAGGTATTTAGCTGAACATAGAATGACACCCGAATAAGACCAATAATCTCGAAGTGAAGTCGTCTACTGCAATTCATGTATCAACACACAACCACACAATAGGGTAGAGATCGTATGAGGAAGGAATAAGGGTTTCTGGGTAGTCGTGGAGCCAGGTTGGAAAGATTGCAGAGAATAGAGTGCACTGGAGACGTGTTAATGAATCCCTATGTTCCACTAGGAACCCTAGGGACAAATAACAATTATGATGCACAACAGGTTGGGTGGAATAAAATCACTGTACTCAAGTTTAATATAATGAAGTGGGAGAGATTGATTATTGAAGCTTTCCTCATCGAATCAACCAACGCAACACGTATACCAGAGATATGGAAAACTTTACTACCAATAAAAGCAAATAATGTGAGATTGGTGAGAGAACTATGCAAATCAGATTTTGAAATCTAGTTGTGTGAGATTACGTTGAGATGATTATGAGGAATAAGTAATTAATGCTGGAAATGTCATCAAGTAAATAATAGTCTATCACTCACTGTGTGTTATAAATTAAATAAACAAATCTAATATGGTGTCATTTTGATTATTACAAAAGTAGTTACATATGATACAATTCTAATGTACATTTTCGAGGAAACAGTCCTAAATTCCATATCATATTTGATAGAATTCTCTTTTCTGTAAGTTAAGTGTTCACACTTCGATTAAAAATTATGTATGTTGCCTTTTGGAGCGGGAAAAGGGGGATATGCAGGACCGCAGAAAAGAACCCAGAAGACTTCGATTTCGCCCACGATTTCTGTCTAATGTCACACAAACTTGAAGATCTACAGGCGAAAACTAACAAGTTGACAGAAGAGGCAGCGAAGATGGGACTTCAAGTGAATATGGAGAAGACAGAGGTGATGAAGATACCGCACCAACACGACTACCAGTAACAACAACAAGCTCTAATCACCATGAACGGGAGAAGCTTAAAGGAAGTAGCCTCTTTCACCTATCAAGGCAGCACTGTTTCAACTACAGGCTGCATAGGTTCGGAAAAGCAAGACAGGAGTTCATTAATCTGAAACCAGTGTGCAGGTCTTCTGCACTCCACTCAGCATTAAGCGTCAACAACATCCCGATTTTCAACAACAATGTCAGTCAAGTGAATGCTTCTGTATGCCTCAGAGACTTGGCGCGTTACAAAATGCATTCCCAACAGACTACACACATTCATCAACAACTGCCGCCTACACTCACTCGATACTCAAGATCAGATGGCCAGAATAATGACAATCAGCAACAAGAAACTCTGTCGTGACAACAAACCAACCAACTAACAACCTATCACTCAACAAATATGCACTGGAAGGAAGTGGAGATGGATTGGATTGAGCATACACTGAGAAGTCCGACAGGGGACATCACGCGACAGGTTAGGCATTCGAGTGGAATGCAGATGGGAAACGGCGAGTTGGGCGTCCCAGTTGAGGGTGACATGGAGGAGATCGTATGAGGAAGGAATGAGAGGTTGTGGGCAGTCGTGGAGCCAGGTTGAAAAGTTTTCAGAAAACAGAGTGCACTGGAGAATGTATCTGTCCCCTTTATTCAGTAATACTGTTCATATTCCATTCAATGGTAGTTATCAACGCAATGTCTTCCCGCAGTTATTCATTTGATGATAAGGTCGTTTTCGTCCTAATTATTTTTCAATATTTTCTCTCTTCCACTATGGGTGTATATTCCCTTCTTTCTCTTTGCAATTCTATTTTCCTTTTCTTATATCACATGACTGTCACGAGTCAATTCACCGTTGTCACACGAATACAATTATACAACCGTAAAATTTGACGTCATCAAAATTCATTTCGTTTGTTTGTTTTCCTTGCAGTATTATGCGACAGGGAAGACGGTAACAACAATACCATTAAACCGGATCCATAGTTGTTTTCCTTTAGTGTTGGTCACCCAAGTTTATTGAGTTTCGGTTAAAGTCGACACACTTCATAGTAGTACACAAAGAAAAGGTGGATAGAAAACAACTCATATCAAAGTAGACGAAATTTTGTCAGCGAATGAATTATCTGAAGACAAAAGATAGTGTAAATATTCAAGCTATCGAAGACGTCAAGAACTGTATACATCTGTGCTATTTTGACTGATTTCCAATCATGTCACCATCAGTCCTCAACTAACTAATTCCTATCATCTCAAGGATACCAGTGAGGTAGTCCTTATCCACCCACACGACTAGTTTACCCGTGTTTGTCTGGCCACTCTGAACCCTCTTTCAATCTAACCCAGCTTCCCCTATCATGCAACTCAAGTTATGCGGTAGATCGGTATGTGCAGTACTTGTGTAAGCTATTTCAGTCATCTCAGGTTCACAACCTCATCAATCGACTTGGATGTATTACCTAGAACCCATCTCCTGATTTAAGCACTGCTCACATATTGATTCTAGCAAACGCTAGCAATACCACGTTAAACCACCTAGTTTATCGAGTACATAGAATTCCATGCATCAGATATACTTATCAGTTCGGTTACTGTTCTTTTCGCAATTCTAACTCATTGACTTGAATATTTGCTTTGATCAACCATCACCATAGATTTCTCTAGATTTAACAGGTTTTTATTTTCATCTTTGTGAATGCAATGCCTATATTTTCTGGCTAGCTTTTTATAAAAAAAGGTTTAATTTCAATCCGTGATGAATACCAACCTGAAATCTCTACAAACCTCGAAACAGGGTTACTCTATTTCTCATTATT